CCGACAGCTGAACGCCGCGCCTGCGCAATACCATCTGGATGAAGTCAGACGATGGAGAGACTCTATTCTTCAGCACATTTCCGACTGCGACTGGCGGTCCACGCCAAGGTTGCGCTATGGAAAAGGCAGACCGCAGAGCGCCGAGCTCAAGAGTATTCTCCGCAGTGGCGCTGCGAACAAGGGCGGCGTGCTGGTATACCCGGTTGCCAACCCATTCAAGGATAACGCCGAGATGCTCTCCATCTGCGTGCACCTCTGGCTCCAGAGTGATGCGAGTAGCGTAATCTTTCCTCGGCGCGGCCGTTGCGACATGGAGCGTTCCGCTCTGGTACGCCGCTTCGGGGCTATCTGGGCTAACGCGCGGTCTAGCAGTGCGAATATCTCGATGGGCTGCGCTAGGCGCATTGCCCTGGATGCCTATGTTCGACATTACGCGCGTACTTTTCATCCACAGCATGCGGTGCTTGTCGGTTGCGAAGTCGCCGTCGGAGTCAACGCGCCAACGGGCACCCCTGTCAGTGAACGTGTGCATGTTGCACACGATGGAAGCACAACCGAGGTTGTCCTCGTGAACCTTCAGACGCACCACATCTTCGTTGCGAACAGACCCCGCCCGCAGTTCGCACAGCAGCTTGCCCTTCGCCGCTTGCAGCAGCGCTGGCGCGACCTCTGCCTCTACGTTGAACGTGGTCTTGCGAGCCACGTTGCTGGGCCCTAAGCCGCGGCAGTCGACGGACATGTGCACGGCGAACTTCTCCAGGCGGCCGCAACTGCACCCCCGAGCCGCGATATCCGCCGGCGCAAACACCGTGTCACCGCAAGCTTTCCAGGCAGTGCTGCGGCGCTCCGGAGGAGGCAGCTCCTTCGTGCCCAACTGAGCGACGAGTTTCCTCATGCAGTTCAGCTCACCGCTGCCATCCCCCCTCTGCCTCTTAGAACTTTGACCTTTCTTGTTCGCGATGGCCTGCTCCGCGTAGTCTATTGCTTGCAGGGCGTTCCGTTTTATTCGCCCGAGTAGCTCTGGCGACAGGCAATCCGCGATGTCTGCTGGGCGACGCCGGTACGGCGACGACCGGTCGTTGCCAAAAGGAGAGGCAATGACCACCTCCTCATCGGCACGCACAGCCACCCAAAACTCCCAGACTGACTTGCCGGGCAACGTACGGTGGATGACGTCAGCCTCGCCAGACGGTAACCATGCGCCACGCGCTGCAAGAATGACGCGCGGAGTCTCTCGCGCATCTGGACACAGGCATGCGGCAGGACCTTTCAGCAAGCTATTCGACCCGTTCCGAGACGGATGCGCGCAGCTAAATTCCAAATCTTGGCTTTGCGACGGACCGCCACCATCGATCGATGCTCCAAACGTGTCCCGCATGAACTCGTCGAAAGACGTGCCCTCGCGCTGCTCGCTCCAAGGAGCCCCCGTGGCTAGCAAGGTTACCAGAGCGTACGGGCGCTTCTCCATGACTACGGAGGCGATTGCTGGTAGACGAAAGCGATTGCTGGTAGGCGGAGCTAAGCTCACAGCCGCACTGCAACACTGTGAACCAGAATGGCAACAGCGACGACAACGCTGGAGGAAATATAGACTTGGGCCTCTCCTGAGAGCCTTGGTGACCTCGTGGCGAGCCCTGGGGGCCTCTAGGGCTGAAGTGTCGTCGTCTGATGTTGTGTGGTGGCGTGTGTAGAGGTTTGTAGTGGTGAGCAGTGGTGTCTAGCGTGGTGCGGTGCGGTGTGGTGCGGTGTGGTGTGGTGTGGTGTGGTGTTGGTGCGGGGTGGTCTAGTGCGGTGCAGTGCGGTGTGGTTCCTGAAATCTCTCCTTTGCTGATTCCTCCGATCTCGCCTTTGCTGCTTCTGGGTTCCTTTTCTGATTCTTGTCGCGTTTACTGATCGTGATGGTATGGGTTGAGTGGCGTGGCGTGGCGTGGCGTGGCGTGGCGTGGTGTGGTGTGGTGTGCTGTGGTGTGCTGTGGTGTCGTGTGGTGTGCTGTGGTGTAGCCCGCTGGCGGTCTCTAGATTTCACTGCACAACTGGTCGGGCAGGTTGCTGGATGGGCGGAACTAAGCTCACTGCAACTCTCCGAACTATGCGTTCAGAGGGAGACCTGCCCATCCGTGCCGAGTTACGCTCACTGCACAACTGGTCGGGGGAGAACGCTGGATCGTCGTCGTCGTCGTCGCTTGCATCGTCGTCGCCGACGTCGTCGTTGTCATCGTAATCGTCGTCGTCGTCGTCGTCGTGGTCGTCGCCGTCATCGTCTGAGGCGTCGCCGTCATTTGAGTCGTCTGACTCGTTCACGTGTGTGAAACGACGACGACCGCCCTCTGTCTTCCCTCCCAACACCTTCTCTCCCTCCTCCTCCTCGGACTCGTCCTCCTCCCGCTCCCCCCACTAGGTGGATGTACAAGGCGGCAGGAGGACATAGGAACAGGGTATATATGCGGGAGCAGGCAGAAATACGCCTGAAATACACGACTGACGGCATGCTTCGCTGGAGTTGCTGTTTGGGGATGGGCCGGTGGGGATACGCGAAGCGTGAAGAATTACTGATATGTGTATTCTTCGTCGCATTGCTACCATGAATACTATTCGTACTATTTTTTGCTATTCGTCTTACTAGTGTTATTACTTCTCGTTTTCTTCCTCTCCCTAATCCATATTATCCTCCTCCGCCTCTTTTTCCTGATCCTCCTCCTCCTCCTCCTCCTCTTCCTCCTCCTCCGCCTCCGCCTTCGCCTCCGCCTCCTCCTCCGCCTCCTCCTCCTCCTCCTCCTCCTCCTCCTCCTTGTCGTTGTCCTCCTCCTCGGTCTCCTCCTCCTCTACCTCCTCCTCCTCCTCCCCTCGTCCTCCTCCCCATCCTCCACTTCGTCCTCGTCCTCCTCCTCCTCCTCCTCCTCCTCCTCCTCCTCCTCCTCCTCCTCCTCCCCCCTTCATTCCTTCGCTCCTCAAACACTCCCTCTCGCCCTCCCTCCCTCCCTCCCTCTCTCCCTCCCTCACTCATCCCTCCTCCGTCCTCCCTCTTCCCTCCTCCCTCCTCCCTCCTCCCTCCTCCTCCTTCCCCCTCCCCCTTCCCCCCTCCCTCTCTCCACCCTCCTCCCTTCTCCGATCTCCGTCCCGGCGGAAAGACCCTTGGGCGGCAGAGTTGCCCACCCTCCCCCTTCCGCCAACGGGGACCCATGGGGACACAAAGGGGGCGTTCCTCCTCCGTCCTCCATCCATATTCCTCCGTGTTCCCTCCTCCCTGCTCCTTCCTCCTCCTCCCCCTCCTCAGCCTCCTCCTCCTCCGCCTGGTCATTATCGTCCTCCTCCTCCTCCTCCTCCTCGTCCTCCTCGTCCTGCTCGTCCTCCTCGTCGTCCTCGTCATCATCATCCTCGTCTTCGTCCCCGTCCTCGTCCTTGTGTTCCCGCCCCCTCCTCCTCATCCGTTTCCTCCTCCTCCTCCTCTTCCTCCTCCTCCTCGGTCTCCTCGTCCTCCACGTCCTCCTCCTCCTCCTCCTCCTCCTCCTCCTTCCTCCTCTCCTCCTCCTCCTCCTCTCCTCCTCCTCCTCCCTCCTCCTCCTCCTCCTCCTCCTCCTCCTCCTCCTCTTCCTCCTCTTCCACCTCCTGTTCCTCCTCCTTCTCCTCCTCATCCCCCTCCTCCTCCTCGTCATCGTCCTCCTCCTCGTTTTCGTTCTCGTCCTCGTTCTCCACCACTTCCTCCTCCTCCTCCTCCTCCTCCTCCCTTCCTCCTCCTCCTCCTCCTCCTCCTCCTCCTCTCCGCCTTCTCCTCCTCCTCCTCCTCCTGCTCCTGCTCCTGCTCCTGCTCCTCTCCTCTCCTCCTCCTCCTCCTCCCTCCTCCTCCTCCTCCTCCCTCCTCCTCCTCACTCCTCCTCCTCCTCCTCCTCCCCCTCCCCCTCCTCCTCCTCCTCCTCCTCCTCCTCCTCTCCCTCCTCCTCCTCCTCCCTCCTCCTCCTCCTCCTCCTCTTCCTCTTCACCTCCTACTCCTCCTCCTTCTCCTCCTCCTCCTCTCGTTCTCCTCCTCCTCCTCTCCACGTCCTCGTCTCGTTCTCGTCCTCGTCATCGTTCTCCACCTCCCCCGTCCTCCTCCTCCTCCTCCTCCTCCTCCTCCTCCTCCTCCTCCTCCTCCTCCTCCTCGTCCTCCTCCTCATGTTCCTCCTGTTCGTCCTCCTCCTCCCTCTCCTACTCGTCATCGTCCGCCTCCTCGTCTTCGTCCTCGTCCTCCTCCCTGTCCTTGTCCCCGTCCTCCTCCCCGTTCTTGTCCTCGTCCTCGTTCTACCCCTCCCCCTCCTCGTCCTCCTCCTCCTCCTCCTCCTCCTCCTCCTCCAGCTGCTCCTCCTCCTCCGCCTCTTCCTACTCCTCCTCCTCTTCCTCCTCCTCCTCCTCCTATTCCTCCTGCTGATCCCCTGTCTCCTCCTGCTCCGCCTCCTCCTCCTCTTGCACCTATTCCTCCTGCTGCTCTTCCTCCTGCTCCTGCTCCTCTCCTCCTCCTCCTCCTCCTCCTCCTCCTCCTCCTCCTCCTCCCCTCCCCCTCCCCCTCCCCTCCCCCTCCCCCTCCCCCTCCCCCTCCTTCCCCTGCTTCTCCTCATTTCTTCTCCTCCTCCTCCTGCTTCTCCTTGGGCGCGCTTCCAAGGGAGGGCCCGCGGGACCTGCGCAGAGATGGGGAGTAAAACAGCATCAATGGCACGCCGCCCTCGCCGCCGCGGCCATCGCCGCCGCCGCAGTCATCACCGTCACCGTTGTCGTCGTCGTCGTCGTCGTCGTCGTCGTCGTCGTCGTCGTCGTCGTCGTCGTCGTCGTCGTCATCGTCGGCGGCGGCGTCGTCGTCGTCGTGGGGCGTCGTCGTCGTCCTCGTGGGGCGTCGTCGTCGTCGTCGTAGTCGTCGACGCTGTCGTCTGCCGTCATCGTCGTCGGGCGTCGTCGTCTGCCGTCGTCGTCGCCGTCATCGCCGGCCGTCGTCGTCGTCGTCGCAAGGCAGACTCGCTCGCTGTCGTCCGGGCCTGCGAGGTGCAGGGCCAGCTGCCCCTTCTGGTTCGTCTGGTCGCATGCCGCCCCGTACTTGTGCCTCGGCGTGGCCCGAGGTGCAGGACCGGCGGAGAGGGTGTTGCACTGGGGCCCTCCGCTCCGAGGAGAAACGGTCTCCAAGATCTCGAAGCCCTCCGATGTGTTTGTTGTCCTGCTTTTCTGCTGCCACCCTGGGAGGTCCGACGACGACGACAACGGCGGCGGTGGCGACGACGACGGTGACAGCCGGGGCGGCGACGGCGTCGGCAACAGCGACGACGGAGACGGCGATGACGACGGCGGCGACGACGGCAGCGGCGGCGACGACGATGACGACGACGACGCCGGCGGCGACGACGCCGACGACGACGAGGGCGACGGCGGCGGCGGCGGCGAAGGCGGCGCGAGATGCGGGCCGCACGACCGAGGCGGGCGCAGCAGCTCGCAGACCTCGCCCGAGGGGGCGAAGAACAGCGGCGTCTGGGGGGGGGCAGGATCAGTCAGCATCGAAAGGGGAAATCGGAGCATCGAAAGGGAAAATCGGATCGAATCGATGTGCATCGGATCGGGCTGCGTCGGCACGGAGTGGGAATTGAATTTGATCGGCTGCACCAGGATGCACAACAACGCCATGCGAACATCGGGCCGCATCGGATCGTCGGAGAACCGGAATCGAATCAGATCGGAACGGCCTCATCCGGCAAGAAACAGAATCGAAGGTGGGTGGGAGGCAACTCCTGGGAGGTTGTCGTCAGAACGATGAAAGTATATTCAACCCGATTAAAACGCCATCGAGCCAGATCAAGCCAAATTCAGCCCAGGATTGAGACCGGTATTCAGCAAGATTGCGGGATTCCCCCGATGATGGCAGTTTTCGACCAGTGCCGATTCAGAATTGAACCTCTCAGGACTGACATCCTAGGCGGGTGGGCCCGCGCGGTGGTGCCAAGTTTATGGCAAGTACTTTGAGAAGCAGGGTAACTGTGCTTTGGTCGACCACGCCAGTCCACCGGCCCCTACTATCTACGCCCTCGTCTCGGTCTTCGTGCACGTACTAGATTGCTTGGCGACTCCAGTGAGCAGCGGAGGCGGATTTCTCACAGGGGGCGCAGCCCAGGCACACTCGATCTGTCTGCTGCAGCAGCGGCTCGAATCGAGGAGGGAGGCTTTGAGGAGCAAAAATCGGGGAGGGGTCTGTACGAAGTGGGGTGGCGATCAAGAAAAAGGCGCACAAGGGGAACGACTTGAGATATCGCTTCCTGCCGCTGGGGAGGACGATGAAATCATCTCAATGAAGACGACGACGACCACGAACAAGCCTGGGACACAATTGACGATTTATCTCCGTCCAGAGCAGAGCTCCGTCACAGGCCGTCACATGCGCCTTCCGGTGGGCAGCCCGTGCTCCAGGCATGGGCAGGGATCGTGCGGGGTGCGGATAAGACCCGACTGTCTTTCTCCCAGCTCTTCCTGCGTCGGGGGGGCTCCAGGAACCTCCGCAGAAGCCCCCTCTCGTTGTCAAAAATACCAACGCACAAGTCCCACAAGCCCAATGGGCGTAGGCGGTCTAGGGAGGCTCCTTTTCCATCCCCCGTTTTTCCCCTACGGGGACGGGCTTATTACTGTTCCTTATTAGTGTACGCCCCCTCCCCCACCCGGCCGGCGGCCAACCAACAGCCATGCCGACTCCATGCGGGCCCGCCCCCCACCATCCCTGTCAAAAACAATGCAAACCGCACTCTGCCTCCACATTTGGAGCATGCGCGGCCAGGTCGAGGCACGCTCTGGTGGGGGCCAGAAGGGTGTCTGGTAGTGTGCTGCCTGTTTCTGCCAGGCCTATGTCACAGTAGTGCGCAGCAGCCGCCATGGCGTCGTATTCAAGGCGCGCTAGCTGCATCTCCACAGGGCTGGCGTTGTCACTGTCGAGGCTCCTGTCGTGTATCAGGGGGTCGTGAGTGACGCACGCAAGCCGTAGGGCGAGTATCTGCACCGGGTCCGGCCGAATTCCTCCTAACCTACCCTCGTGATCGGCGCCGGTGATTGACCAAACCAGTCCCGACAGGTCCATCAGCGTCAGGGTACGTGCCGCAGCTATTCGAGCCGGGACAGGTAGCCCGTCGTGAGGGTCGGGGGGCGTCGACCGCAGAGGGGAACTTGGGTGTACTCCGGGGTGGCCGGGGCGGTGCCGGTTCCAGCAGTGGTGCACTAGCATTTCGAGGTTGTGGTTTTGAACAGGGGAGCGCTCGATACCCCTGTTCTCGAGCTCTCTCCAGGGACCTTGTACGTAGTAGCGATTCCATAGGAAGGCCCCCATGGTGCCCCCTCTCCCTGTGCATCTGTAGTCCGCAACCCGAGGGCCGCAGGCTGGGAGGTCGTTCTCTCGGCTTTGGGGCCAGTCGGACCTGGAGCGCCCACTGAGCTCCATCCACCGCGCGTGGGCGTCGCTGCCTGGTTCGGAGTCTGAGGTTTCCCCTCTGCCGTCGGTGGCCCACTGGTCGTCTGTGGGGGACCAGTCGGGGGACTGTGGGTAGTCCGGGGGGCCTTCTTCAGGGAGAGGCTCTCCCTGGGGGGCGTCAGGGGGGCGTGGTTCGCCCCCTTGAGGGTCAGCGGAAATGGGGGGGAAGGGGAGACCGGGAGGAGGTTGGATAGCGAGGGGAACGCGGGGAGAGGCGATCGTGGGAGCGTCTTCGCCCCGCCCTGGGGCGACGGGCGACTGACGACTGATTTTGATCGGAGGGGGGGGTGGGGGACGCTCGCTCGGCGCGGGCAGCCGGCATGCCCCAAGAGAGTGGCGATCGGGGCCCCATGCGGATGTTGGGTTCAGGAGAGTGCCGCGGATTGGCCCGCAACGGCGGCCGCGGCGGCAGCCGCCACGCCTGCCGCAGCTGCTGCTGCGGGCGACCTCGAAACGGCCCGTGCGACTGCGGCGGAATCCAGGGTAGGGCTGCCGTGACTGCCTCTACCGGCGGCATCGGTTGTGGTCGTCACTGGGTCGTCGCGGGTAGTCGTCGGTAGGGCGCTAGGGGGCGTTCCTCCGTGGGTCTCTGTGGCGGGACTGTTCCTAGTAGGCCTTACTGTTCCAGCGGCGTCCCTCTCTGGGCTGGGTCCCTCGTTGGCTGGCAGTTCGAGGCGTCCGGGAGTACTAGTCGCGTCCGTCGCTCCAGGGGTCGGCCTACCGTGATTGCTGCTGCCGGGCGTTGTCGCGTCGGAGAAGCAGAGGGGAGGGCCGTCCACATACGTCGGGGAGGAGCCCTCCTGACCTGGGGGTTCCGCTGGGTCGGCGTGGTGGCAGTGCGTCCCTGTTGGAGCACGGTGGGTCGTGACTACCACGTCCGGCGAGCCAGGGGGCGGTCCCTCCATGTCCGTCGGAAGTGGAAGTTCCGTCGCTGCGCCACAGTCCGATCCAGGGTGCGGTCTTATGGTGGCCTCGGAGTCCCCCCGCTGAGCGGGTGGGCGCCGCATCTGTCTTGTCCGCCCCCAGGGTGGTCGTAGGACGCTGCTGTGGGGCGCTGAAGGGATTCACGCTCTGAGTGGCCGTCGGGAAGGGAGCTAGGGCTCGAGACACCACGACTTGCATCTGGCCTAACGTGCCCTGTTTAAACTTGGAAGCCGGGTCATATCGAAACCACGTTCCCTTCTGGCCTAACGGGCCCTGTTTCAAGTTGTAACTCCGAGTGCGCAACCGTGGCGGATCCTTCTGGCCTAACGGCCCTGTTTCAACTTGTAACTCCGAGTGCGCAACCGACGCTCCTGGCAGGGCGCCGACACTCGGACGTTGGAGGGCATGAGCGTCAGGATCTCCCGCGGGCGGGGGGGAGGCACGACCCAAAGGGGGAACATCGCCACAGCGAGCTGCAGCGCGGCATGGGGGGCCCCCCCACTGTGCTTTCATCTGGCCCATGGGACCCTCTTCCCCCTGGCGAGGCAGGCAGGAGGCCAAGGATACCGACAACGGTGTCGGCCCTCGGTCGACGCGGGCCGTGGGTGCCAGGTAACACTATGTAGGGGGGGAGGACACAATCCTGAGGGGAATTGCTGTCCGGAGAAGCTGTCGTTCCGACCGCAACGGCAGAGTCTCCGCTCCCCCCTGGCCTAACGGGCCCCGTGTCAGTTGGGAACGCGGGCGGAGCGGATGCGCCGCTCCCTTCTGGCCTGACGGTCCCTGTTCCATCTCGTACGTCAGCTGGCGCTAACGGGGCGCCTCCTTCTGGCCTAACGGGCCCTGTTTCACTTGCAGCGGTCAGTTGACCGCCAGGGGTACTCAGAAGGGCGTCGGGGTCCGAGCATTGGAGGGCGCGCAGACCGGGGTCGTCCGTGGGCGAAGGGGGAGGCCCAACTCGTGAGGGTCCATCGCCACCCTGGGCGGCCGCGTCGCCCACCGTTCCTGCGGTTCCATTCCTTAATGGCCAAACGGGCCCTGTTTCACATTGCAAGGACGGCTGGCCACCAGGAGTGTCTGTGGAGGCGTCGGGGAACGGCTGTCGGAGAGCGCGGGGGCTACCCTCACCCGCGGGGGCAAGGTGAGCGCTTCCCTGGGGGGATATGTTCCCGCCGCGGGTGCTTCTGTCAGCACCGATCTGGAGGCGATGGCTGTCCGGGGGGTATCTGCGAGGGGGAGGGTTCCAGGGGGAGGAGGGCGCTACCCTCCTGAACGTTAGCACCCCGGTCGATCGCAAGATCCGTGATCCCGTCGTCCATCCACAGAGGGCAGTCTAGGCCTGACCTGGCAGGCTGTGTCTGCGCTGCGTTGGTTGCTGCACCGCGGGCAGCGTAGGCGGCCCGGAATCGCACGGGGCCTCGGGAGCCGCGGGCGGGCACGGGGGGGCCACGGCGGCCCAAGCGGTGCGTCGGGCGCCCCCTCGAGAGCGGGGGATGCCCGCAGACGGCTTGAGCCAGGCTGCGGAAACTGGTGGGGATAAGTTTTTCCGGTCGCGGGCGGACGCGGATTCGCAGTCGCCGAGCTGAGAGGTCTGGGCCACGGGCCTGTCAAATTGGCCACGCGCAAGCCTAAAAGCACAGCGGCCGATCCCGCACTCAGAAGCAGCCGCCGGTGGGGCCGCGGGCTGAAGGGAGTGGCTGAGCTGACTGCAATCGGCCAGGGTAGCTGATGCAACTGGTGGGGATAAGTGAAGCGTCAAGAATTTGGAAGCTCGCTTTGGAGAGGCATTTTTGAGGCTCATATTGTGGAGACCTGTTCCCGCGTGCAGAACGCCGAGGACAAATGCATCGTCGCTTCTGTTTTGTGGGGTGGGGAGACGCACGCGCACGAGACCACCACAACCACCACCACCACCACCACCACCACCACCACCACCTCTACCACCACCACCACCCCACAAACAAAAATCAGTATTATGATGTTTTTGGGGACGAGAACCCCCCCTCACGCCCACAAACGCCCACCCACACACACACACGAACAGAAAACAGAAAGAACACACACATACACACAACCCCCACACATACACAAACAGCGAGCCGGGATGAGAAGAAAGCAAATAATAGTGAAAAAAGGATCCAACTGACCGCACTCTCAACAACAGCCTGTCCACCTCGAAATTGGACCCCCCACAGGTCACGTGCGCCCCCCGGCCGAACTCACCGAGGTGGTGGGTTAACCGCTTTATGAGCGGGTCCTGCTCTCCCCGGGGCCCTCCTGCTGCCCCAAAATGGCCCCCCGAAAGCACCAAGACGGCTTCGAAAACCTCCTGACAACCAAGATGGCCTCCAAGGCGGCCCGGCAAGCGCACAAGAAGCGCCCAGTAGGCCTCCAAAGCACCTCGTAAGCAGGCCCAAGGAGGCCCACATCCTCAAACTCTACTGGGGAGACGTACTTGCTTAGCATGTATGAGTTGGGCGCTTTTCGACGCCCCAAGAGCCCCCAAGAGAGCCCCAAGACGGCCCACGAAGGTCCCAAGGCGGCCCACATGCGCCCAAGACGGCCCAAAGGAGCACCACGACGACCCCAAGAGAAGGAGACCGAAGCGACAATGCGAGCCTTCCGCCCCAAGATGCCCCCGGGAGGCTCCACCAGACCCCCGAACAGTCCCCAGAGGCCCCCAGGACGCCCCAGCAGGCCCTGAAACGGCCCCAAGAGAGCTCAACACTGCCCCACCGAAGCCTCCCACGACGCCCCAGCGAACATCCAGGAGGCCTCTGACCCGCAACCTGGGCACGGTGGAGGGACGGGCCGAGGGCTTTGAGGATCAGGCCTCCAGGCGGGTGCCCCGCCGTTCTCCGCTCCGCGGGCTCCCACGAGTCAGCTTCGAAGTCGCCCCTCAGCCTCCTCTTCCCTCACGTCTTCCCTCCTTTCCCTCCCTCCCTCCCCTTCTCCTCCTTCTGGCAAGCTTCGAGCTTCAGCAGAGTCGCAATCCAAAAAAACCCTTCTCCTCCTGGCTGCTTTGGCCATTATTATCCGTTTCCGCGGGCTCCTACGAGCCACTTTCCAACTCACCCTTCCTTCTACTATTCCCCCGCGGCATCCCTCGTTTCCCATTTTCCCTATCCTCGTCCTCCTCACTACCATTTTCCTTTTTCTTCTCGCATTCTCGCCATCCACGCTGGCGTTCTGAGAGCTTCCATGCAGGCATTCCCACTCCATCACCCGCACGACTTGCACTTCAGTTTGCGTTGTGCGTGAGCACGCGCGAAGTTCGGTTTCCCCCCCCGCCCCCGCCAACTAGGATTTGAGAATATTCCTATTCCTCCTGTAGGTGCCCGAACACTCATACGCTTTCCACTTGCGCGACGTGAAGACGACGTCCACGCAGTCCGCGCATTCCACCTTCCTTCCCTGCGCGAAGTGCTCCGTCTCCTGCGCGCCAGTTCGTGTGGCCCTGCCGCGGGAGTCCCATCTTGCAGGCCGCGCACGTCAGCTCTTTCTGAAGTCGCTTTGCCGCATCGGCCAAGCCTTTCGCGCTGACCCCCTGTTTGTCACACGCTCTGCAGCTCACTCCGACTCCTTTCGCCGACCAATGATGCTCCACGTGGCTCCGGTCCAAATGACCCGTGTCCAAGAAGGCCCCGAGTCGCAGCAAAATCGTTCCAAGACGCCCAAGACGGCCTCCAAGCGGTCAAAGATGCCCCCAAGACAACCCCAAACCTGCCCTCTCGCATTCATCTACATCACCAGCACCCTGGACGCCCCCAAAAACCATAGGAAAGAATCTGCACTCAGGTGGGTCGGTGGATGTAGCGTAAACCTATAGACCTTCGTATCCTTTTTGTAAAATTCCCTCGGGATTCTCGGCCGACCGCGCCAGCCCTGCGGAAAAGAGGCCTCCCATTGTCTCTCTGCCCTGTACAGACCATTCACCTTCCCAGGTCGTCCGCTTTTCCGCCCCAGACGGCCTAAAATGGCTTGCAACACGGCCAAGATGGTCTCCAAGACGGCTACGATCGCCCCAAGAGAGTCCCAAGACATCTCCAAGATGGGCTGGGATGCTCCCAGTTGGCCTCGAGATCATTCAAGAGGCCCCCAGGGGCCCCATGTTGGCTCCAAGAGGGCCTTCAGGAAGGAAACTAACATGATTGATATACTCCCTAGGGTGCTTCAACTGATTTTAGCGTTCTCGCCATTTCGGGCTTCTAACGCTGAAAGACACCCCGCAGGCCCCCAATTCGGCCCAAGAGGCCCGCGAGACGGCCCAAGAGGGCTCCAAGACGGCCCAAGAGATTCTCACACCGTCCTCGTAAACCTCCAGGGCGGCCCTAAGCGCCAACAGAAGGACCCATGACTGCCCAGAAAGGGTCCCAAGACGGCCCCCGACGGCCAAGAGGCCCCTCGGAGGCCTCCAGGAGGCTCCCAAGAGGCCACAGCAGGCCACCAAGATGCCCCAGGAGGCCCACAAGATGCACCTCAGAGGCCCCCAAGAGGTTCCCAAGAAGCTCCCAGGAAGCCTCACGAGGGCTTCGAGAGACCTCCACTTCTTCTTCTTCTGTACATGCTCCTCCTCCTCCCCCTCCTCATCCTGCTCCGTCGTCTCGTCCTCCCTTTCCTCTCTCTCTCTCCTCCTCTACTCTCTTCCTCTCCCAAGTTTTTCCCCCAGGGGTTCCGCAACCGCTGGGGCCAACAGCATGGCCAGACTACGGCCAAACGTGTGGTCGCATGGGTGCTTCCACAAGTCAAGGGGCAGCGATGATTCGCCGTAGGTGCCTTCGATATGGATGCACAGTCCATGTTGATGTTCCGATGTTGATGTTCTGATGTGTCCACTCTTCCGATGTTCCAGATCCATATACGCGCACCGAGGCGGACTGCGAACGGACTCCGAAGTCCCCTGTCTGCTCCAGGAGGGCCCGGAGGCGCCGCCAAACGAGCGCAGGCCGGCCGACGTCCTCGTCATCCCGCACTTGGCTCTGGCGACACACCTCCCCGACGACAGCCGGGCTGTCCTGGCGGAGAAAATGTGCTTTGACTTTGCGGTCATCAACGCGCTGGGCCCGGGCCACTGGGCGGACACCGCGCTCGCCGCTGGGCTCCCGTCCGAGAGTTACGCCGAGCAGAAGCGCACGCGGGGCCGGACCGAAGAGAAGTGCCGCGCCCAGGGCCTGGCTTTCCGGCCTGTCGTTCTCGAGCAGCTGGGCGGAATGGGCGCGGACGCAGCCTTCTGGGCCGTCGCAGCAGCGGTCGCCGGGAAGAAGGGGCTGGAGCAGTCAACCGTGCGACGGGAGGTGCTCCACCGCGTGGCGATCCTCCTCGCCCGCGGCTGCGCCGCGCGGGTGGAGCGCCGGCGGGCCAGAGCCCGCGCAGGGCGAGCTGCGTGGGCGGCGGCCGCGGCGACCGCCGTGCGCGAGCCGGCGCAGGAAGACGGTGAGTGATGCGCAACGTGGCACGCTCGCCCTCACGGGCTGTAGTCTCCCTCCCCTTCCCCCCCCCTAGCCAGGCTGCTCCCGTCTGAAGGAAAGCCGGTCTTGTTCCTGGCGCGTTGACGCGCGCGTGTGCCGTTCGGCCCGCCTCCTTTTTGGCCGGCCTTGGTCCTGGCCCTCGGCTCTCCCTCCTCCTCCTCCTCCTCCTCCTCCTCCTCCTCCTCCTCCTCCTCCTCCTCCTCCTCCTCCTCCTCCCCTCCCCCTCCCCCTCTCCGTGTCCTCCTCTTGCCCTTGTGCTTCCTTGCCCTTGTGTGTGGCGTGCCCTCCCGCCCGCTCCCTCCTTCCCTCGCTTCCCCCCCTGTCTCCCCGCCCCTCCGTCTGTCGGCCCGGTCTGTCCTTTCCTGTCGTTCTCCAGCCCTCCCCCTCCCTTTCGCGCTCCTCGGCTCCTCGCTGTCCTGCCTGCTCCTGTCCCTTGCCTTGCCCGCGTCTCTATGTCGGCCCGTCCCGTCGTCGGAATGAGAGATCTGGAGGCCTGCGCTGCCACGCTGGCGACTGGCCAGGCGTGTTCAGCAATGTTTGCTTTTCTCAGGAAGTGACTGCGATGCAAATCAAATTTCTCAGGAGTTGAATTGCGTCCATGGCAAATCAAAGACGACGCCACTACCCCCGCAACCCCCTTATCACCCAAAGGGTGGTAAGGTATGTGTGCTCTGCGGGGTCCTCGGGCGAACACCGGCTCACCAGCTCGCCGGGGTGGACGGGATCGGCTGGCACGAGGGAGGGGGGTGAGGAAGGAGGCAGGATGTAGGACGAGGTAGGGTGCCGTCGGCAGCAAACATCATACCGGAGCGACGCGGCTCAGAGGTGCGAGCTACTCCCAAGACGCCTTGCCGAAGATGAAGCTCGCCTCTTCGACGAGTACTCCTTCGATGCTGCCAGTGGCGCTGCCACCGTGAGGAGCGCTCGGGCACTTGCACATCTTGTTGTCCAGGCCCAGGCCGCTCTTGCCATCGTACCTGCCCATGAGGCTGGCGGCCGCCTCGTTGTCCCGCGAGCGCCCCCCTGTGCGAGCCTTGTCCCAACGGTCCTTCCACGCAGGCCTGAAGTAGTAGCCGTGGTCCACATCGTCCTGGCTCTCGATGCGGTAGCGCGCGGTGGCTCTGTGATGGACGCACGCGGCAGAAGGGCGCTCGAGGCTCTCTGGGTGTGCGTCGAAACCGAGCAGGCCGCCGACATCCACGCGGCCAAGCTGAGACAACTGCCGCACTGCCACGTTGAGGTGCTCCTGCTCGGGCAAGTCCTGGCGAACGGTGATCTTCGCGCCAATCGGGCTTTTCTTGTTGCGCAGAGAGAGGGTGACCATACCAGCCGCAGTCGGCCCCGCCTTTGAGCGCTTCTTGGGGAACCAGGTCGCCTTGTCTAGCGAAACCTCGATGTCCGATTCCGAAGCGGAGAGCGCAATGTCCTTCGTCTCGAACTCGTCGATGGTCTGCCAGGGGGAATCACTCTTGCCCTCTAGCAGCCGCGCACCGAAGAACGCGTCGGTGTCATTCGAATGCGACTTGCGGTAGCAGCGAATCTCCACGGTCTTGCCGCCGAGCCAGGCGCCCGAGAGCTCCACGTGCGTGATGTACGTGGTGCACGGCTTCCCCACGTCTGGCTGGACGACTGCTTGGAAAGAGAACTCGGCCGGCTTCTCGGCAGCCTGTGGGAAACGGAGCAGTGTGAACGTGCCTTCGTGGTTGATGTCGAAGTGCTCCCCTTGTAGGTTGACCAAATGTGGGTCGCCCTTGGCCCCCACGGTTGGGGCTGGAGTCGAGAATTGGGGGTACGGGCCAGCATTGGAGCACACACCAGTGCCGTTGGGGGATAGAGTGCACACCTCAGTGGTCTCGCAACAATCAGTGCCACATGCGCAGCAACAGCCACCAGAAAAGGGAGAGAAGGAGCCGCTCACCTGAGTTCCGTCAGTGGATGTGCAAGTCTGCTGAACCGTCGTGTCATATTGAAAGTTTCCTGGGAGCGGGTCGTTAAGATCGAGTTCGTAGCCCCCAGTAATCTGAGAAACCCCAATGACGACGGTTGAATGTGTGACAACTGTAGACGGGTCGCTCGATAATCTTCCAGAGATGGTGATACTGTCGCCCAGAGAGAACTCAGTACATGTCTGATACGCGACATGCACAGGAATCGTGGTGCTTCCGCTCGGGACGTTTGCCGGGGCAGTCGGGACGTAAGGGTCGCAACACTCGTCTGCGTCGGGGTCCTGGCAGGGCACGAAGGGAGCCGGGCAAGAAGTGCACTCTAAGGAGCGGCGCCTGCGCGTTTCGCCAACGCAGTCGACGCACTCGCAGGGGTTCGGGACAATGTACTTGCCCTGAGGGCACTCGTCGCACGGCTCGGGAACCTCCGTCGGGCAGACTGATTGGTTAACTTCGTAAACCATTAGGAACTCAGTCTGGTTGATGCAAGCGTCATCATCCAAGTCCCACTTCTCTGGCCCGCAAGTTGCGGGTACCATGAAGCAGTATTCCAAGATGGGCATCTGCAAGTCGCACTCGTTCTGGGTAAGGCAGCCATCCCCATTGAGGTCGTATCCTTGGAAGCACTCTGGCACGTGGCACGAGCAAGGGATTCCTGGCGCCTCAAATTTGAATGTTGGCTCGGGTGTGGGCTGCAATGTCGGCTCCGCCGTCGGGGGCGCTGTCGGCGGAGGAGAAGGCTGTGGCCGCCCCTTCTCACGGCGGTCCTCCATGATCGGCGCTGGCGCTGGTGGCGCTGCAGCCTTCGCCGCCTCCTCTTCAGATCTGGCCTGTGCTGGCGGCGCTGCAGCCTTTGCCGCCTCCTCTGCAGCTGTGGCCTTCGCGGCAGCCTCCTCCGCAGCCTCGGCCTCCGCGAGAGCCTCAGCCGCCTCCTCTGCGGCCTTGACCGCCGCTGCAGCCTTTGCCGCTGCGGCCTTCCTCGCCGCCACCATGGCCGTCTCGGCCTCTGCGGCGGCCTTCGCCGCCTCATTTGCCGCCTTAGCGGCCGCGGCAACCTTCTCGGCAACCTCGGCCTCTGCGGAAGCCTTCGCCTTGTCGTCTGCGGTCCTGGCATCCGGTACAGCCTTCGACGCCGCGGCATTCCTCGCCGCCTCCTCGGCCGCCTCGGCCTCCGTGGTAGCCTTCGCCGCCTCCCCTTCAGCTTTGGCATCCTCGGCAACTTTTGCAGCCTGTTCCGCTGCACTGGCCTCTGAAGCAACGTTGGCGGCCTCGTTTGCAGCTTTGGCCTCCGCGATAGCCTTCGCCGCCTCCTCTGCCGCCGTGGCCTCCGCGGCAGCCTTCTCGGTAGCCTTGGCATCCGCGAAAGCCTTCGCCGCCTGCTCTGCGGCCCTGGCATCTGCTGCGGCCTTTGCCGCTGCTGCATCCCACGCCGAATCGTCGACCGCCCTGGCCTCCGCGGCAGCCTTGGCCGCCTCCTCTGCGTGGCGCTGGTGCTGCATTACGTTGGCGCTGGCCTCCATGATCTTCCGCCACACGGCCTCGCTCTCCCCTGAAATCTCCTCGGGCCCGTCTCTGTCCCCGTCCTCCACGATCTTGATGGCAGATATCGGTTGCAGCAAGACGGCCACGGCCAGAACGCGGAGAGAAAACATGATATCAAGAACGCGGGTAAGTTCAGTGTTATGTGAATATGTTGAACGGTCGCGCCAAAACAGCTACGGAACGATTGGAGGACAACTCCTGAAAGGTCTTCGCTCAAGCGAAGAAGGTCTACTTATCACACAACTGAGGGGCGACTAATCGGTATGACCCCAGGTTAAACCCAAGATGAAACTCAATTAAGCAGGATCTGGCGGGAATGCAATCAAATTATGAGGATCGGGCCAGGTTCCGGCTACGGATGTACCAGCGTCGGTGCTGAAATCAATTTCCCAGGGAACATGCCAAGAAACACCAAAAAAACAATACCGCTGCTCCCCTGACCTCTCCCAGGGTCCACTTTGGACCGGGACGCTGAGGCGAGTCCAGCCGCGGCAACGGAGGACAACTTTGCATTGCGCGGGGCGGAACGCGGTCATCTCTGCGCTCTTGAGCGGACGCCCAGGAGAAAGGCAGCGCTCCGGCCCATGCCGCGAAGCGCGGATATACATGTTTGCGCCCCCGCGGATGATCTAGACACGCGTTAAGGATTTCGACGTGCCATTTTGGCAAACAAATTCTACCGTTCTCATATTTTCTGCTTCCCGACACTCCAAGAGCCCAAGAGCCCCCAGATCGCCCCAAGACGGCACAAGAGGCTTCCAAGAGGGCTCCAAAACGGCCCCAGAGGGCTCCCAAACGGCCCAAGAGGCGCCCAAGTCGGCTCCCCAAAACGGGAGCCCGACGGGGTACCCGAGCGGGCATTGCGAGCCCTCGGCCTCGAGCGGCCCTCAAGAGGCCCCCAAGAGGCCCCCGAAACCCCAGAGGCGCCCAAGAGGCACCCGGAAACCTCAGGAGGCCCCAAACTGCCCCCAAGAGGCTCCCGGGAGCGCTCTGAAGAGACTCCAAAAAGCATCCCTGATGACTGTGGCCCACAGCCCAAAGCACGGCGGCGGGATGGGCCCAAGGCAACTCGATCCGCCGTCCCTTGTGGTCTTGCCACAGGGGTGTTCGGCGTGCCGAACCCTACTGGGTTGATTTTTTGGGGGTAAAAAACTCTCTTCTGGGGCTCCGGCCCAGCGCGCCTGCCCTGCGGAAGACCTGGGTGGAAAGGTTGTTCCAATCCAGATGGCTCCAAAATGGCTCCAGATGGTCTCCAAGTGCGCCCAAGATGGTCCAAGATGGCCTCCAAGACCATCCAAGCGAGTCCATCATGCCTCGAAGTCCACCCAAGAAACTTCCAAGACGGCCCAACATGGCCCCAGAGGCCACCAATAGGCCTCCAGAGAGGCCTCCAAGAGGGCCTCCAATGAGGCCCGGAAAGGCCAAAATCATTGATTGTTCCCTACCTAGGCTCTGCCTAGAAGGGTTCTTACTCTCTGGGCTTAAAGGGTCGGGCAGTGGAACTCGCCCCGGGCGGTTCCCCCAGGATCCGCCCCGCGGTTCCCCCAGTTACGTCCCTAATCTTAGCTTATCACAGCTTAAGATCTTAGCTTATTTCATCTTAGCTTATCTTAGCTTCATCTTAGCTCAGGTTTATCTTAGGTTAGCTCGCCTTCATCTTAGCATCGCTGAACTTTAGCATAGCAGAGCACAGCATAGCATAGCATAGCGCAGCACAGCATATTACAGCATAGCCCAGCACAGCATAGCGCAGCATAGCATAGCATAACATAGCATAGCGCAGCACAGCACAGCACAGCGCAGCATGGCATATCATAGCATAGAATAGCATAGCACAGCGCAGCTTAGCACAGCATAGCATAGCATAGCATAGCATAGCACATCACAGCAGGGCATAGCATAGCTTAGCACGTCATAGCATATCATAGCGCAGCATAGCATGGCATGACATGGCATAGCAGAGCAAATAATGTTGCTTTCATAAGGGGCTCCAACTTCTAGGTCGGGTCGCACTGGGGCAACCTTGAAATACCACTACTCGTAATGTCATGTTACGTATTCCGTTAGACTGAGACTTGCACCACAGCGAGTTTTGGATCTAAGGTTGTCTTTTGGGATGGTTGATCTGTGCGGGAGACATAGTCAGTTGGGGAGTTTGGCTGGGGCGGCACATCTGTTAAATGATAACGCAGGTGTCCTAAGGCGAGCTCAATGAGAACAGAAATCTCATGTGGACCAAAAGGGGAAAAGCTGGTAATCCTTTGGTTTTTGAATGGTTTGGGCACTTGCTTCATTCTGCCTTCCGACGGCCCGAGACGGTTCAAATGCCCCCGACGCAGAAATCGTCCGCATAGGCGAAGCTCCTGTCCACGCGCTGGGATATGCATGCGCTGCGAGAAAGCGGGCCAGCTGCGAGAGCGAATAACTGCGCGCTACCCGGGCATCCCTGCCTAACGCAACTACACATGCGCAGCTCCCCTTAATTGCGGCCGCAGACAAAAAACAAAAAAAAAAAAAAGAAACGATGACGATGCTCTCCCGAAACAGGAGAGAGAACATCGAGACAACGGCAGGCTCAATATGCATGACGGCGAGGAGATGCAGCAACCTTGGAATAGCTTGCGAAGGGAATACCTGGCATAAGTCCACGAGGAACAGGCGCGCCGTCTCACGGCCAAGGGCGCGTTGGTCCATGCCCCAAGCTTCAGCTCCGATAGTGTTAGAGAGTATTTCGCGACCCTGGATGCAGCTCTTAGCGGGGGCAACACAACGGTTCGTATTCTCACGCAGCGGGGCTGATGACACATGGCAGAATCTCATTGTCGGCGTTCGACATGCTGAGGGGGCGAGAATTTTGAGGGCCACTGGTGATTGACGACGACGAGTCCTCATCCCCCACTCACTTGGGCAAAGAACCATCGGACTCCCGCGCGTGCCCAGAGGGAGTTCCGCGACTCCCTGCGAGAAAAGAAGCTCGCGCACGTCATAGAGGGCGCGGGCGCCATCGGGAACGCGCCGCGCACAGTAGGGCGCCCATCTTCACCTGGCACGCAGCGCGACCGAGATCGGGGAAAGCCAACCCACTCAGCGTTCGATAACATGTAGGATCGAGGAAGCGGCTCAGGAACCTTCGGGGCGAACGGGCCGAGCTCAGCCCAGAGAGAAGTATCCAGAGAAGGCGGTGATCATGCCTGGGCCCAATAAGTTGTCAACACCTCGGCGGGGGCGGTCGTGAGACGCACCGGCATGTCCTCGCGCGTCGCACACGCAGGCGAGGAGAAACCCTACATCGACAATGCTTCAACAGTTCCTGGCCGCGTTGAATGCGTTTTCTCTGACCCCGCCTGACCTCCTGAGACGTCTCAGACAACTCCAGCTCTCTCTCTCTCTCTCTCTCTCTCTCTCTCTCTCTCTCTTTCTCCCTGATCCAGACTTTGCATTGGGGTGGGGCGTGTCAGCGCAGGAAGTCTCCGCGGGTTGACGCATTGAAAAGCAGCCATGTTAAATTGGCGCTGCGCAGCTGGGTAACTGCGGAGAGCCTGAGCAATGACCAAGTCACGGCGGTCGCGCCACCCGCGGAGAGCTCGAAGGGCCCAGGGGTGTTCTTCCTCTAGGGCTCGCGCGAGATCGCGCCCGATGGGAGTCCCGAATCTTGCCGGCCGGGGCGCGCATCGCGAGTTTGACCTGCCCTGGGCGTTCCAAAGGTTCTAATGGCTCAGGGATCTCCGAGATGGCGGCTTCCAGGGAGACTCAGAACCCCTCGCGGCTCGCAAGCCACTTGGGCACAGACTGGGAAGGAGGAGAGCGGGACAGGGCTCGATGGCAAAGAAGAGAGGGGCGCGGTCGCTGGGCATCTTGGGTTTGAGAAAACCATGCGCTCCAGCCCGCGCGTTAAGTCGCGAGGCGCAGCTGGCGGCAGCGACGGATAAGCACGGTCAAGGCGAGCAGTGTGAGCGATCGCCCAATTGCGCAATTCGCGCCGCGCGTCCTTCTCTTGACGCAGGTCAACCAGAGGAGAACAAACGGTGGAATAACCGAGCGCGAGCTCTATCCCCGGCACCCACCCAGAGACATCTCCCTGAATCCGACCGTCTTCCTCAAGAGTGAAAATAAATCCCCGGGCAGGATCGGGTCGCAAGCCGAATGAGCAGTGCTCTCTCGGCAAAAGGCCCCGGCGTAGATAGGGAGCGCCCACGGGAAGGTGGTGCTATCACTGTACTTGGGCCCTTTCTTATCCGTTTCCTCCCTGTCATCCCTCTCATGGAGCTTATCCCTGGTCGGGTGCTTCTAACGAATGTCACCTGCCCTGATGGTCTCCTCGCCAGTTTCAACCTTCACCCCCCTTTCAGCGACGCTGTCCGAAAAAATCGAGTGGCCGACGTTGAAACCGCCCACAGAAGTTCAGTTCGCGACGGAGCCCACCGATACCTGCAATATGTCAAAAAGGCTTCCTGAATACAAGTTACCTGGAACTCGTGAGCGAGGGGGAGATAAAGTCTGAAGCGAGCGCAGGCTCGCCAGTTAGCATTACGCCCCGAACTAAACACGCAGTGAGGGTTCCACGCGCACGCAGACAGCGGGCAATAAGGAAAGTAGGGCAGACACTTCGAGAATGGAAACGCGGAGGGCCCTCTTGGACGGCGGACAAGGGGGGTGCAGATCACTCCTCGCCAGCGTCCAGAAGGCTCACGGATCGGGGCTGCGGCGGCCTCGCGAATGACATCGACTCGAAGCTGCTGTCATGGAACTCGATCTGCGTGACCAGGGCGGCCTCATCGACGCGAAGCTGGACGAGAGGGGAAGGGCCTTCAGGGCCTCCAACGCGTACGCCAGGCCTTCCAAGCCGTTGCTGCAACCGGTGATATTCCCAGGCAGGAGCAACATCGTGATGAACGAACGGACGCGGCCCATAGAGAGGAATAGTTGGCGGCCTGATACGGCCTGGTCGCGCTTGACACGCAGGGCGAAAGGCGTCGCTGGCACCCAAGGATCAGGATGAGCGAACGTGCCGTCGCGCGATAAGTTATTCATGAAGTTCGTGACGTCGCCGGCTCGCTCTAAGTGCAAGGGGATACTATGTGCCATGTCGAAGGCATTGATGGACATGTGCTGAGCCCGATCCGTGGGCGAGCATCGGGCGCGAATCGCCTCGCCGATCGAGCGGAGAGATGACTGCAACATCTGCCGAAGCAAGCCGAGCACAACCAGTATACAAGTGCTATCCATGGCGAGCCCTGTAGCGGATGAGCGGGATGAGCGAGAGCTCGCAAAGGGCGGAAAAGGGGCAGACAGAGTACGTAGACGTGCTTCGATGGCCTGGACCTGGACCTGAGGTCGGAGCCGCCGTGCCACCCGCAAGGCGGTTCCTGTGACAGGGCGGCCATCTGTACATTCAGGTCGCCGCGCCTCTGGTTGTTGACCTGAGCCTGGTGCCTGATAAAGAACATATCAAAGCTGGACTGCGCAAGCTGTCAGCCGAAACCCTGGAAAGACTTGAGAAGCTGTTCGAGCTTGACATCCGCGGTCATAGGGGCGGCAAGGGGAGTTCCCAGAGCGACGCCGCGGCTGCTGCGGCAGTGGGCGGCTCGCATCGCGACGGGCCTCGCGGCGCGAGGGCATCTGTGCGGGGAGCAAGGAAAGGAATGGGGGAGTCGAAAGCAGCTGAACTCCAGACCAGGGCGGGCGCTCTGAGGAGCAGAAGAGATGGCTTTTCCTGCCCAGCTGGCTTGAGCCAAAATGGCGGGAGCCAAAACGGCTACGGACATGGTTATGGTCTGTGTTGCCATGCCCTGCCATTCTCGTAATATGGTCTGTCATTGTTATGTCGTGTCATGGTGTGCTCTGTCGTGTTCGTCGTCGCTATGCTCTGCCGTCGTGCTACGACATGTTATGTGATGATGTGGCATGGTATGATATGTGATATCAGGGTGTGTTATGGTATTATCGGGTATGGTATGTCATGTTGTGATATGCCGTCATATGTTATGTCATGCTCTGCTATGGTATGACGTGTGATGGTACGTGTGTTGACGGCTCGACTCTGATAGTAAAGTATGATACGCTCTACGAACAGGTGTCGCTATGCTCTGCTGGTGTGTTCTGATATGTTCGATGATGACGTGTCATGATACGACATATTATGTCAAGATGTGGTGTGTTGTGCTCGGGAATGTTCTGTTATGCTGTGCTATGCCACACTAGTTGATGTCTTGTTATGCTATGGTATGCTATGTGATAATATATGCTGCCCGATTGAGTCATCAAAGTGTTATGGTATGTTCTGTCATGTTATGTAAGTATCGTGTTCTGTTATGTCATGCTGTGTTCTGCTCTGGAACCTATCACCATCCCCACTGGGAAGCCTTGGCCCTGTCGTCCGACCTGCCGGGCAGGTCCTGCCCCCATAGGTGGGGATAGGTGCCCTCCGCGAGGAGCTTCGCGGCACCCCTCCCTGCTTAGTCCGAGCGGAGGGCTGGCCGCGCTGGACGGGACAGGCATGGGTCCGACGATGCTGTACCATGTACTCATTCTTGCATGCTCTGGAAGGCGTCCGGGGGTGGGCGCTCCTGGCGAATTTGACGTGCCTCCTGTGGGGCGGCGGGGCCAAGAGCGCGGCTGCAGATAGCCACTGAAGCACCGGCAGGAGCGCAGGCTTCGAAGCATGCCCGCAACCAAAACAAGCCCCCCCTGCGGGTGTGTGCCCAGTATACTCCAATGCCGAGGGCCAGAGGACGATGCCGAGAGGAAGTCCTTGCCTTTTTTAAATGGGGCCAGAGCAGGTGGGCAGTCGCAGCATCGCCGATTTCAGTCAACTCGTATGATCAGGACACACGATAAGGATGCAAAGGCCGTGGAGGGCCTTGTCGACACTTTGCGAGCGGGGCACGGCCAGCGAAAACGGTCAACGATAGGCCGAAGGGGAAGGATGCAAGGGCAACCTTGAAAAATTGCTCATCCGTGCTACAGTCAACCCGTATCATAAGGACGCACGATAAGGATGCAAGGGCCTTGGAGGGCCATGTCAACACTTTGCGAGCGGGGCGCGACCAGCGAAAGTCGCCAAGGATTGGCCATAAGGGCAAGGATGCGAGGGTAACTGATCGTGGAAAACTGCTCTCATCCTGTACTGTGCGGGCTGACTGTATGCTGGCTGACTGTCTCTGCCGATGCGGCCCGATCCGGAGCCCGACTCTCTGCACCCCGACATCGCAGATGTGCCGCCGGTGTGTCGGCGTTGCGGTGCGATCCTCGGGCCCCGGTTGGGGGAGAAGGACACCAGCACCGACATGCCGCCAAGGGGAGCCCGTGAGGGTGTCGCTGCTGACGAAACACCAGATAAAGACTGCGACACGGAGGAATAACACGCTGACAGGTTCCAAACGGCGGCGCGCCACTTATCTGAGGGAGAACAAACGGCACCAGAAACATTCCATTTCTGCGGTCGGCGCGGATTTCTCGGATCGGCGCTGGACCCCCTTCCCTGGCGCGCGGAGCGCGCCAAGGGCGGCGCCGGAGGAGCCGTCAAGGGGGCACAACGCAGATCCAAAACATCCGCGCGGAGGTCCGCGAACGTCTGCCTTGCCCCTGTGTGCCTCGACATGCTGCTACTCCCGAGACCTTTCCCCAGGGCGCATCCTGACCAGAATTTCAGGCGAATGCGGCCGTGGCGACGGGGTCTCTCGAGCAGCGGTGTCGGTACCGCGGGTTCGCGTCGTGTCGACCCCAGCGTTGGTTTCTGACACCGCGGGGATCGTTCAACCTTGAACGATCGGCCGTTTGCGAAACGTCAGATCGTTCAACACTGAGCGATTCTGGGTCGCCGGCGGCGTTCAACGTTGAACGCTGGCGGCGGGGCCGCCGCCGGACGACACGACGCAAACCTACCGAATGCTTTCCTCCGACTCTTCTAGGGGAGCAGAAAATTGCAGAAACATGAAATCTCGGAGGTCCGCGCGGATTTCTCGGATCGGCGCTGGACCCCCCGTCCTGGCGCGCGGAACGCGACAGGGGCGACGCAGGAGGCGACGCCAGGTGCCCCAGCGCCGATCCGAGGAATCCGTGCGGATCCGTGAGTTTTCATGTTGTCTGTCATCGTTTAGCGTTCTTCTTTTCCCTCCCAAGCTGGCTGTCGGCCCCTTTCAGGAGGCCTCCGTGGGAAGTCGGGGACGCACTGAACTGGGTCAATGCAAACCTGGGTCAGTCGGGCTCTGCAGGATGCTGCAAGATCCTGCAGGATCCTGCGCGCTAGCCCGGGTCAATGCACCCCTGGCTCTGCAGGATCCTGCAAGATCCCGCGCTCCGGCTAACCCCCGATTGCATTAACCCGAGGGAGGCAGAGCGCGGCTCGCCGGCCGCGCCGCGGGGGCGGAGGGGGCGGAGCGGCTCCTGCCCGTGCCGATCCTTCGCGTTCGCGCAGGCGCCCGCCTCCAGCAGCGCCTGGGCTGCCCTCGGCCCCCGAGCCCTGCCATCGCTCGGTCTCGTGCATTTTTCCGAACATCCTAAAAGTGGGGCTCCTGTTTTCTGTGACCACCCCGCGCAGGAGCAGGAGCCCACCTACATCATCATTATCATTCTCATCATAATCATAATCATAATCATAATCAGCATCATCATCATCAGCAGCATCAACATTATCACCATCACCATCACCATCATCATCATCATCATCATAATCATCATCATCATCATCATCAGCATCATCAGCACCATCATAATCATCAGCATTGTCGTCATCACCGTGAGCATCGTCATCATCATCGGTATCCTCATCCCCATCATCATCATCGCAATCATCACAAGTACCATCATCACCAAAATCATCATCTGTCATCCCACCATATCATCACCATCATCATCTGAATCACAATCATCACCAGCATCGCAATCATCATCACCATCATCATCCACGGCAACCAACATTACTACCACCATCCTAGCATGATTACCGACCATCATCAACACCCACTCACTCACCCATTCATTGAAGCACATTCGCTCGTCATTCACCCCCTCATAATCATGTCAAGACCCCATCACGACTATCGGCCATCATTACCGTCATCGTCATCACCATCGCACACCACCATCGGCATCACTATCACCATCCCACCATGGTCATCGACTAGGAGGGCACTTCGTCTGTGAGCCAATTGTGAAGAAGTCTCAAGCGGAACCCCCTCTCACTATGGGGCATATACTTCACAATCGAATCCGAGGCGGGTCATCGGAAACCGGTAACTGTCGTCACTTGTTGGCTCTTCAGGCATGAATCTAGCGAGTCTAGCAGAAGTCTCGAGCAAGAGCCTCGTCTGTGAGTGAGTTGCGGGGAAGTCTCAAGCGGGAGCCCCTTCCCTATGGGGCCCCCGCCTCCAAGTTCGATTCCGAGGCGAATCTTCGGGAACCGGTAACCGTCGTCACTTTTGGGCTCCTCTGGCCTGAATGTGGACAAGTCTCGAGCGGGAGCCTCGTTTGTGAGTGAACTCGCGAGGAAGTCTCAAGCGGGAGCCTCCTCCTTATGGGGCCCGCACTTCACGCTCGAATCCGAGCGGGGCCACTGGAAACCTGTAATTGTCATCACGCTTGGCTTCCCCAGGCTTGAATCTAGAGGACGTCTCGAGAAAGAGCCTCGTCTGTGAGTGAATCGCGAGGGCGTCTGCAACGGGAACCCCCCCTTATGGGGTCCCCACTTCCATGTTCAAATCCGAGCGGGCCACGTTCGGGCTCATCAGGCCTGAAGCGTGTGGATGTATTGGACGGGGTCGTCATCTGTGAAATTATTCACGGTCGCGCGCGGCGGGAGCAACGGGCCACCACCTTGTTCTTCGAGTTTCACCCAGACGACGAAAGGGATTACGAGGAGTGCGCGTCAGGCAAGCTCTTTCGCCCCCGCTACCTCCCGCAGGGAAGATGGATGCAGGTCCACGTCTCCAAGGAGTTCCCGATCTACCAGGAGGTCACGGAGCTGCTGCTACACGGTGCCGAAGGCGCTGACAACGACGGCGAGGCCGACGCACGGACGAGGAGTTTGCTCATGATCGGGCTCAGCGAGCAGGAGCTCCCCTGGCAGTGTTCGGGGCCGCGCGTCGTGCGCCTCTCAGGGTTCACCCTGGCGCACGCGTCCTGCCTGACCTCCACATGTCGCCACGAGGGCACCCTCCCTCCAAGAGCCTGGGACAGAACCTCGAGGGAACCCCCGGCCCTGGTTGCGAGTGCGCCTCAGCGATGGCCCCCAAGAAGGCCCCAAAGCCCTCCCTCGACCTTCTCGATCCCCGATCGCGGACCGGTGCCTCGATGCTAGAAGCAGAAGCACTGCATAAACATACACTCGCGTGGATTTCTTGGAAGGGCGCTGGACCCCCCTCCCTGGCGCGCGGAGCGCCGCAAGTGCGGCGCCTTCGAAGGCACTGCAAGGGAAACCCGGCGCCGACCCAAGAAATCCGCGCGGACCTCCGACAACAAATACCTCCCAAATGGGTACAGAGAGCATGGGCACGATGACTCACAGCAAATGTTGCCCAATCTGACAGCGGCCACTCTTGGGCAAGCGAAATTTTCCTTCGAGTGGACGACGTCCGCGGCGACAACGACAGCGAACCCTGTAAAACAGGTCAGGGACTGCTGAGAAAGCTTCGGGCTGCGCACAAACAGTCCCCGCAGGTAGTTTCGGCTGACCTCAACACGCTCCCCTAGTAGTAGTCATAGCCGGCCTCAACAGCCCCCCCAAGTAGTCCTGGGCGGTATCAACACCCCAGCCCTGGGGCGCGGAACGCCCCGGCGGTGCCGCCATAGGCGGCGCCGGGGTGTTGAGGACGCCCTGGGCTACTCTAGGGGCCTGTTGAAGCCAGCTGGGGCTACTCGAGGGAGGGGCCTATGGAGGCCAGCTCGAACTACCCTGGGGAGCTGTCAGTGCGCAACCCGAAGCCTTCCTGGGGACTGCTGTCAGTCTTCGTCCCCCTGTGTTCCGTCCCCGTCGGCGGGGGCTCCCCTCACCTGCCGACTCTCGGCGGTCCGGCCTGTTCCTTCCTCCGCGGCCGCCCCCTTCTTTTCCACACTTGTCTTTGCGGCCCATCGGAACCGACACCTGCGCCAGCGTCCGCGGGCGCCACCGATTAGAACAGCTGTCCGTACCCACCATTTTGAGCATCGTTTAACCGATTCCTAATCCCCACTGGCGTGGCCTGGGCCCCACTGGCCGATTTACCCCCCTAGCTGGGAATATGGGAAGTTCCCTTCGGGTTTCATAGGGCATATCCCCAACTGGGGTGGTGGGATGGTGGGGATCGGGACGGGGATAGGGATCGGCTAACCGATGCGAGGCGCCAGAGCGGCGGCATGGATAAAATTCGAGCCTCGGGGGCTACTGGCTACTGGTACGACTTTTAATCCATGCCCTGCTGCCCCTGGCGCCCAGAGCGGGGGGCAGCAGCAGGGGTATGGATCGAACGTCCGCTGCCGACACTTCGATCGTACCGAGGGCCGCGCGCGCGCCGCGCGCAGGATGTGCCGAGGCCGGGCACGCCGCACAGCTCTGGCGCGCCGTCGAAGGCGGCCACGTGCAGCAAGCTGACGCCCTTGTCGTCCGACTCGTTGGCGTCCGCCCTCGCCTGAAGTGCTTATTGTTTGCGATAGAGGCCGTTACCGGATCCTGCCGCCCCCTTCCCCCAAATGACGTCACGATTCGTGCTGACATCCGACTTGGCTCTGGTTACTCCTAGACATTCCCAAACGGCGCTGGCGCGAAACGTGGCGTTACCAGCTCCCCGCCCCCCTCCCCCCCGCACCAGGTATCGCCTGGGAAGCACAGACTGCTCTCATGGCCGAAGGTTTCTCCTTTCCCACGGCAAGATGCACACGTGCGTGGCGCTAAACTCTGGACGTCGGTGTTGTCCAGAGGGGTGAGAGCAGGGAACGCAAGGAGTTGGGCACCCTCGAGGGCTCCAAGTCTGGCCCCAATCGGCGCGTTCCTCTCAAACGCCGACCGCGGCACTTCAGCTGGCCGAGGGGGATGGGCGGCGGCGGACACAACAGGGCGGAAGCGAGGTTTCGATGCTCGAGGTCTGCGGGAGTCGTTGTCCGTTCTCGGCGGCTGCATTGCCGCGGCATGCCTTCCAGAGGCTGCGCCTCGCCGAGAGGGGTTCCAGGGGGTGCCCGGATCGTCCCGAACGGCCGCCAGAGGGTCGACCGATGCTCCGAAAACTGGACGCCTGGCCGAAGGTTCTGCTGCTCCCCGAGGCAAGATGGACATGTCTAGAGTCTGTCCCTGCTAGCTCGCTCGCACGTCCTTCGCAGCACGAGCGAAGTTTAAAGAGATCGCGAAGCTGATCCGCCCTCGCCTGGCCCAAGGGGAAGCGGCGACGGACGCCGCTGGGGAGGGTGGGAGGGCTCGGGTCGGAATGGCGTCGGCGCAGGTTTTCTTGTCCTGGACCGGACGGAGAGGCTCCAGACTCTATGAGTCGTTCCATGGTTGCCCTTTCCCTTCATCCTATCTCTCTTCTGGTCCCTCTTCTTCAAATCCTCAACCCCAGGAACTGCCAGAAACCAACGTTCGCACCGCGAGACGCGCGACGTGCGGTCACACTTGCGCCAATGGGGCTGGGGAGGGGGTGGAGGCTTTTAGGAGGACCGTGCGTGCAAGACGACCGACGAAAAATCAGTGCACGTTGGAGTTGGAGAAAACAATGACGACCACGACCACGACCAAGATGGCGACGGCGGCAGCAGTCTGCGGCGGCAGCGACCCCCCCCGCCCGCCCCTCCGGGCGCCCGCGTACGCGCGCCTTCGGGATTGAAAGGACGAAGAGGGCAACCGAAACTACGACGACGACCACCACCAAAGGCTCGAGCCGGTGACGACGACCACGAAGCGCAGGAAACGGCGACCACGACCGCCACAAGGGCGAAGAGAACGACGGCTGCGATGGCGACTACGTAACGACGACGAATAACGTCGTTACGTCATAACGTTGACCCCCAAAGGTCTCGACCCATTCACTGGGACCAGCTTTTCGTCCTGAGTCGTTTTCTGACGGTCCCGAGGCTTGGTGAGGGCCCTCGGAGGGTGACTATACTGAACACCTCCCGTCGTGGTTTTTTACGACGACCGCGAGGACTGTGGGAGAAGCCCAGACGCGCGACCGCTGGGTGGGCCTCAGGGGAGCGGGCCCCAGACAGTGAAGGGGTAAGTGAGCGCCCCGTGGCCCTGGGGCCGCGGTGCGCGGGCAGAGGGGGGCTGGCAGAGCAAGCACGGGGTGTCGCGGGCCCAAAACGGCAGAGCAGAACGTAGCGCTCAACGAGCGCAGACGGGAAAACCGAGGACTCGAACCTCTGCCCAGCAACGTGGCCTCCTTGGGCGAGCAAGTAGGGGGGGGGGAGGGGGCGGGGGGTGCCTAGAGGAGAACAGGGAGGGGGGGCGTGCCGAGAGAAGAAGAGAGAGGGAGGGGGGGACGCAAAGAAGGGGGGCGTGCCGAGAGAGGAAGAGAGATGGGCCGCCCCCGCGGGGCCCCAATGTCTGGAAAGCTGTCTGGGGTCTTGGGCGAACAAAAAGATTAGCCTCGTCCTAGGCCGATCGCATCGTGACATTACTAATGTCACGACGCGATTTGCATAGGATGCGATCTGGGAGTGCTGGAGCTTCTGGCGGCCTTCGGCCACTCGCGCTGGGCCATCCGTCTCTGACCGCGAAGGGCAGCAATAGAACCTGAAAGTCCGCTCACTGGACCCCTTGAGACGGCATACTAGATCTGCGTTCGATCCACTGGCCCCTTGTTACACATCGGCTTCTGGCTGCTTTCGACGGTCTATTCTGCCGAAAGGCTGGACGGTTGCGATTGACAATGGGGTCAATGGTCGAGCACGTACCTCCTGGACACCCGACGTCGGGATTTACTTCAATGCGTGGACACAGAACTTTGGATGAGCGGTGCGCTCACCCGAGGAACCTTCTGCTCAGCGAGAGCAACTCTCTCAAACCAGTCCATTGAATGCACTGGATTGCATATGCCCCGGAAACGGCAGGTTCGATTTTTCACTGGTTCCGAAATAAATCTCTTGAACATGGAAACACGACCGGACACAGCAACAACACACGGCTCCCGGATTGGAACCGAAACTGGACACAGAAAGAAAAGGCGACGGAACCAACAAGAAAACGATGTCGGAACCGGCAACAATAACGGCAAACCAGAACCGTTAATAAAAACGGCCCTGTCGTTTCCAGGGCCCGCGAAGGCACTGGGACGTTAGCAATGGGATCACGTTCGGAGACACGTTTTGCCTCCAGTGAACTCGATGCCTTCGTCGAGGAGGCGGGACGAGGCTTCCTCTCAGGCTCAGTGGCTTGCGCCTCGAGGCCCGCGGAACGCAAATGCGATGTGCGGGCGCGGCCAGACAGACACACGCGACGAAGACGACGACGACGACCACCACCACGACGACCACGACGACGATGAATGCACGACGACGACGACAACGGCGGCTGGCGGCGGCGGCGGTGGCGGCGACGGCGGAGGCGGCAACGGCGGCAGCGAGCGGCAGCGGCGACAGCCCGACGGCGACCCCCCTGCAGGCGCGCAGGCGCCTTCAGGAGCGCCTGAACAAAGTCGGTGGCGCGCCCCTGCACGGCGGCGCGCAGCGGCGTGCCGGGGCCCTGCCTGGGCGGGGCGGGACTGCAGGACAAGGGTCTGTCCTCGTCCTCCCTCGTCCTGCTCCCCTCCCGCTCCCTCCTCTCCCGCCTCCGCCCAAGTCCACCCACGCGCGCGCGCTGGCCCCCGCGCGCGGGGCCCGGCCAACGCGTGAGTGGTGCCCCCCCTGACGCCATGGGGGGAGGGGGAGGCCACCTTACCATCCTTCTCGCGCGCCTCTCCTCCTCTTCTTCTTCCTCTTCCTCCTCTTCCTCGAACGCTCGGGCGCTCCCGCGCGCGCGGAGAGGGGGCGGGGAGGGAAGGAGGACGAGAAGGGGAAAAAGAGGAGGTGGACGAAGAAAAGTGGAACGATAATGAGGCGGGGGGAGGGGAAGCGGGGAAGGAAGAAGGTACAGGGGGGTAGAGGAGGCAGATGCGGGAGGAGGAGGAGGGAAAATCGAGGGGGGAACTACTATGTGTGGGTGGGCTCTCTAAGCGGTTCTGGGGGTCTTCGGGGGTTCCCAGGGAATCCCTGGAGGTTCTAGAAAGTAGGAGGGACAGGAGTAGGAGAAGGAGGACGGCGAAGGGGGGGATCGGGGATCCTGGCGTCTGCTAAATGCCTGCCTCCTCCTCTTCCTCCTCCTCCTCCTCCTCCTCCTTCCTTCCTTCTTCCTGCCCCCGTGCGGGGGGGGGGGACGGGGGAGCAGCGTGGCCGAAGCAAGCGGTCATGTGACTGCTCCAGAGGAGGACAAGGGAGCAAGAGGCAGACGCAGAATGGGAGGATTGGGGGGATGATGGGAGGGAGCGGGAGATGACACTTCGTGCCCTCGGCCCCGAGGGCCCCCAAGAGGCCTACGAGAGGACCCCAAGAGGCCCCAAGAGGCTCCCAAGAGGCCCCAAGAGGCTCGCAAGAGGCCCCCAAGAGGCTCCCCAGAGGCCCTCAACTTGCTCCCAAGACGCCCCCTAAGAGTGCCCCAAAGAGACCCGACGAAGCATCACTAGGAGCTCTGACCAACAACCCAGGCACGGTGGCGGGATGGACCGAATGCCACTCGATCCGCCGCCCCCTGTTGATTCCTCGCAAGGGTGCCTGGCGTGCTAGGCCCTACTGGTTCTCCCCCCTGGGCCTCCGATCCGTGCCGCCGTCTCCCAGAAAAGATGGTTGCCATGCTTCCCCAGCGGCCGTCTCGCTAGGGACGTCCTCCAAAAAAACGCGATCTTCGGGTCCAGATGGCCCACGATGGCATCCAAGACGGCCCAAGAGGGTCCAACATGGCTCCGAGTCCGCCCAAAAAGCCTTCAAGATGGCCCAAGACAGCCCAAGTGGCCCCCAAGAGGCGTCCAAGACGGCCCATGAGGCCTCCAAGAGGTCCTCCAGGAGGGCCCGGAGATGCCACAAGCATTGATACCCTTTAGGTGTTTGACAGATTTGGCATAAGCTTCTTTTCGGTCTTTTCGACCTTCCAACAGCCCAAGACGACCCGAGAGGCCCAAGATCGCCTCAAAATAACCCTAAAGTCCTCCAAACATGACGGCCCAAGAAGCCTCCAAGACGGCCCAAAGAGGCCTACACATTCGCCCAAGATGGTCCAAAACTGCCTGCAAGACGGCCAAAGATGGTGCCCAAGACGGCCCAAGAGGGCCCCAAATGCTCCCAAGTATGCCCAAGGCGCCTCCAAGACGGGCCAAGAAGCCCATATGACGCCCCCAAGACGGCCAATGAGGCACCCAAAAAGCCCCAAGAGAAACCCATGGAGGCACCCAAAGAAGCCTCCAAAAAACCCACAGGAAGCTCCCAGGAACGCCCAAGAATGATCCAAGACGTCCCCAGAAGGTGTTTTCCTCCTCCGCTTTTCTCGTCATTATCCGCTTCTCTTCTTCCCGCTCCACTGGTCAATTCGGGAAACGCATGCTCAGATGTTTTCGTCAAGCTCGAGCCCGCGCGTTCAGTCACACATGCGGTCCAACAGGACATGCCTGGCGTGCTAGGTATGTTTGTTTGGTGTTGGCTCTTCTTGTATGAGACTTCCTCTTCAGGTATTGCCTCGCCCCAAGCCTCGTAGGCGGTTCAAGAAGCCTCGACGAGGTCCTTTGGAGGATCGGCCGATTTCTCGGCCATGGTTTCCCACCTGGTGATTCACGATGGTAGCATGTGCTCTGTTGGGCCTTCGGAGCCGGACGCGGCGTGCACAGTTGCTCTCTTCCCCTCTTTTTCATCCTCGTCCCGATCTCGACAATGGCTCCTTCTCGTCCCTTAGGCCGACCCTCCTCCCTTCATCCTCCTCCTCCTTCCCGCCTTCCTCATCATCCACCTCCTCTCTTCTTCTACTCCTCCTGCCCTTCCTCTTGCCACGTGCATTCCCCCAATGGATGTGTAAGAGTCGGGGAACGTCAGGTCCGATGTGGACGTCAAGCTCGAACTTATACGTGCACTCACATATGCATTCCGGCAAAGATCCTAATCGTTTGGTTTCGGTTTCGACCTTCTCAGATCCACCGCCCCCCCGTGGTTTGCCACAGGGGTGCCAAGCGTGCTGAACTGTTTTACCTGACAGCGAAGACTGATAAGTTTCTAGTGGTCTCAAAAGAGAGCATCATGACTCCCCAGGGGGGTCTGGGCAGATGCCGGACGGGTGCCGCGGAAATCCGGGGACTCCTTTTTTAGCCAACAGTAACGCACTTCGTGGTCTTCGAGTTCCCAGAACTCCATTCCTGGGCATGATTTTGAATGCCCGGAGCCAACTGTAGGCCACTTCGTCTTCTTCGAGTTCCCAGAACTCCATTCCTGGGCATGATTTTGAATGCCCGGAGCCAACTGTAGGCCACTTCGTGGTCTTCGAGTTCCCAGAACTCCATTCCTGGGCATGATTTTGAATGCCCGGAGCCAACTGTAGGCCACTTCGTGTCTTCGAGTTCCCAGAACTCCATTCCTGAATGCCCGGAGGCCACTTGGTTCTTCTGATGCTTCCCAAGGCTGAGGCCGAGGCTGAATTCCAGGCTGAGGCTGAGGCTGAGGCAGGCTGAGGCTGAGGCTGAGGCAGGCTGATGCTGAGGCAGGCTGAGGCTGAGGCTGAGGCTGATGCAGGCTGAGGCTGAGGCAGGCTGAGGCTGAGGCCGAGGCTGAAGGCAGACTGAGGCTGAGGCTGAAGCAGGCTGAGGCTGAGGCTGAGGCAGGCTGAGGCTGAGGCTGAGGCAGGCTGATGCTGAGGCAGGCTGAGGCTGAGGCTGAGGCTGATGCAGGCTGAGGCTGAGGCAGGCTGAGGCTGAGGCTGAGGCCTGAGGCTGAAGGCTGAGGCTGAGGCAGGCTGAGGCTGAGGCTGAAGCAGGCTGAGGCTGAGGCTGATGCAGGCTGAGGCCGAGGCTGAAGGCAGACTGAGGTTGAGGCTGAAGCAGGCTGAGGAGGCTGAGGCAGGCTGATGCTGAGGCAGGCTGAGGCTGAGGCTGAGGCTGATGGCTGAGGCTGAGCAGCTGAGGCTGAGGCAGCTGAGGCTGAGGCCGAGGCTGAGGCAGACTGAGGCTGAGGCTGAAGCAGGCTGAGGCTGAGGCTGAGGCAGGCTGAGGCTGAGGCTGAGGCTGAGGCTGAGGCTGAGGCTGAGGCTGATGCAGGCTGAGGCTGAGGCAGGCTGAGGCTGAGGCCGAGGCTGAGGCTGAGGCTGAGGCTGAAGGCTGAGGCTGAGGCTGAGGCTGAGGCAGGCTGAGGCTGAGGCTGAGGCTGATGCTGAGGCTGAGGCTGAGGCAGGCTGAGGCTGAGGCCGAGGCTGAAGGCAGACTGAGGCTGAGGCTGAAGCAGGCTGAGGCTGAGGCTGAGGCAGGCTGAGGCTGAGGCTGAGGCAGGCTGATGCTGAGGCAGGCTGAGGCTGAGGCTGAGGCTGATGCAGGCTGAGGCTGAGGCAGGCTGAGGCTGAGGCCGAGGCTGAAGGCAGACTGAGGCTGAGGCTGAAGCAGGCTGAGGCTGAGGCTGAGGCAGGCTGAGGCTGAGGCTGAGGCAGACTGAGGCTGAGGCTGAGGCTGAGGCTGAGGCAGGCTGAGGCTGAGGCTGGCTGAGGCTGAGGCCGAGGCTGACGGCAGACTGAGGCTGAGGCTGAAGCAGGCTGAGGCTGAGGCTGAGGCTGAGGCAAGCTGAGGCTGAGGCTGAGGCAGGCTGATGCTGAGGCAGGCTGAGGCTGAGGCTAAGGCTGATGCAGGCTGAGGCTGAGGCAGAGGCAGGCTGAGGCTGAGGCCGAGGCCGACGGCAGCCTGAGGCTGGGGCTGAAGCAGGCTGAGGCTGACGGCAGACTGAGGCTGAGGCTGAGGCTGAGGCAGGTTGATGCTGAGGCAGGCTGAGGCTGAGGCTGAGGCTGATGCAGGCTGAGGCCAAGGCTGGCGGCAGACTGAGGCTGAGGCTGAAGGCAGGCTGAGGCCGAGGCAGAAGGCAGACTGAGGCTGAGGCTGAGGCAGGCTGATGCTGAAGCAGGCTGAGGCAGAGGCTGAGGCAGGCTGAGGCTGAGGCTGTGATTGCAACTGCTGTTGCCACTGCGACTGTCATCGCGAATGCGACTACGACTGCGAGAACAGCAGAATTCTACAACTGGATTCCCATCTGAATATTAAGGGGAATGCGTCCACATATACTCCTACACATCGCTGTTCGGTTGCTTTGCCGGGATAATACGATTCGGTTTGTGTTTTTGTTTCCAAAAAAAATCCCCCGAGGGTTTCGGCTCGCCCCGCCGGCCACCCGGAAGGGACCGCAAAAGCAAACACAGATTCCAGGACGGGTCGCGATGCCCTCCAAGAGGGCGAAGATGTCTAAATATGGACTCCAAGATGAGATTCCAACATGGCCCCAGGATGCACCCAACGCGGTCTAAAATTGCCGAAGACGGCCGAAAAGGCCTGCAACAAGCCCCTAAGAGGCCTCCGCGACGGCACATGAGGCCTCCAGGAGGGCCTTCAGGAAGGCCCGAAAAGGCCCAAATCATTAAAGTTTTTGGAGGATTTGGGACATTGCTTCTTTTCTGCATTCCGACGGCCTTCCGACGGCCCAAGAGCCCCCAAATATCGCCCCAAGATCCCCCAAAAGGCCTCAAAGATGGCCCCAGAACGGCCCAAGAGGCCCCCAAGACTGCCCCAAGGAGCCCCAAGACAGCCCAAGAGGCCTCCAAGATGCCCAAGATGGCCTCCAATACGGTCCTGGAACACCCCAAGAGGGCCCAGAGAGGCCCCCAAGACGGGTGTCCTGCAGCGTTAGACAGATCAGGAATGCCCCAAAACGGCCAAAGGGGCGCCCGAGAAGCCCCCGAAGGCCCCCAAGAGGTTCAAGGAGGCCCCCAAGATGCCTCCAAGAGACTCCCAGGAAGCTCCAAGGAGGCCCCAAAAGTGCCCCCCGAGACTCCCAAGATGCCCCCTCCTCCTACTCCTCCTCCTCCTCCTCCTCCTCCTTCTCCTCCTCCTTCTTTGCCTCCTCCTTATCCCCCTTCCTGCACATCCTGCACACTTCGGTACCTCGTAGTGCCCAATATCCCTCGCTGATGGCCGATATTGCCTTGAAACCTTTTCTGAGTCTACGCTCGCCCCCGGGGCGCCGGCTCCCTGAAAGGCTCGATCAAGATTGGTCTGCTGGCGGAGGCACGCGCGCGGGCATGTGCATACACGGGACAACAGGCAAAACAACTGAAATCCACATGCACTGCAACATCTCGTTGCCTGTTGCACGCATCCTTTCCCTCTCACTCCTGGATCCTCGACAACACGACGCCTAGGTCTCCGGGCCACGTAGCTGCTGTTCAGCCTCCAGCGCAATCATATCCAGGCCGAAAGTCTCCCTCCTGATCCTCAGCAAGGCATCGCGTTGGTCCGGGTAGTTGGACATGTTCCCGATGACTGAACACGCGGTGCACGCTGAAGCCTCCTGGTAGGACGGGCCCTCCTTTGGGAGCGTCGGGCGCTCGAGCTTGATGAAGCCAACCTTCTCCTCCTTATTCACGGAACTCACCATCGTTCCCTGGCCGTCAGCTTCACGAGGAGGGAAGCGCATGACTGGCCGTAGGTGCTCAATGCCAGAGGGCATCTCCACCTTACACGTCGATCCGCTCTCGATATTGTCGTAGTAGCTGCGCTCCAGTTCGATGATCTGGCTCACTATAGTGTCCTCGATGGCTGCTGGACGCAAAACCTGAACGTAGCTCGAGCTGTTGTGGTATGAGAGCGTCGCCTTCATGCGTCGGTTCGATCTCAGGCCACTGTCAGTCACACCAGCTGGAACCTTGATCATCATCTTGCGGGTCGCCGCCACACAGCTCACCAGCTCCGGGCGGGCTGTCTCTGCATCGGTCAGGCTCTGCAAGAGGCGGCGCACAGTGCGAGGATTCGCGGCGAATGCAACCATCAGGGCTTCCGAAACATTGGCAACTGGATATGAAGCGTCATGGGCAGGATCGCTTGACGAAACCTCTCGACGGATACAACGACGCTCGCGCTCTGCTGCTGCTTCCTCCAAGGTAGTCGACGCACCCGCCAGCTGATGCGCTCCAGATCGAATGCAGGCCCTCAATAAATCGTGGGCCTCGGCTTTCTCCTTCGTCAGTGTATTGGTCACCATCAGGGACGCGGGCCCCCACCTCAGACAGCCCCCGGACCTCTGAAGGGCCTGGCGAGCAATCGTGAGCTCCACTGCGCATCTCCTATCCTCAAGAGCCCCGGGAGAGCCTATATTATGTATGTGGTCGTGCGCTGACTTAGCATCTATGATCGCGATGGGCTTGAAGTGTCTCAGGACTTCATACCTAAAATCCAATAAATTGCGGCAGTAGACAACCTGCCATGAAGCACGTAGTCCACTCCAGATGTCCCAGACCATCGGCCAGTGCTGAGGCCCCCCCAACTCGAGACGATCGCATGGCTCGCATGAGACGGTAGATGCGCCACATCAACGGATTCCACGGTGACACCTCCCCCCGTTGCATAGCTGGCGTCGCCGCATAGATTACATGGCCACCCCGGGTCTTCTCGAGGCCATCGTTCTCCCCTAGGCAAAGTCCGCGTGGATCATCCTCATGAGATCCTCGAGAGGAACCGAGAAGTATCGAATCGCGAGATCCTTATGTTGACGTGCGCGGCGCACTCGCATGGTAGCATCTTTTATCTCCTGCACAGTCGGACGCGGCAATAACTGCTGATTCTTGCTCACCTGGCAAGATAGATCAGGCGTCGGCTGACCTGCCAGCCGATTGCCAGCTTGGTTCGTCGAGATCAGCGCAGACTTCTCCCAAGGCAGTGCCTTGCTCATTAAGGCGTGACGTTTCAGCTTGACAGGTTTCATGGTTTCTGCATGCGCTCTTTGTGACTGAACAGTCGTGCCGCCCGAAATCTGCTGCAACCAGGACCCCGTAAATTCGTCGGAACCGTGTCTGCATTTCCCCTAAGGAAACCGTTGCTTCAGTTCAGCGATAGAGGCGCCCCACTTGTCTCCTCGACCTCCTCCCACCGCGTCGTCCACTTGCACCCCCGTCACACCACAGAGAGCTCCTGGTGGTCCTCGAGAAGACCCAATCGACACACGCCTCGGCGTTGCGGGCACTGCGTGTTCGGCCAGAACGGGCTCGAACATCATGGACAGACACGGGCCAAGCCGATCTCCCCAGCGCAACGCTTAGAGTCGCATGCCATCGTTGTGGCTGATCCAAGCCACCCTAACCGTTCACAAGCTCGCACAGTTGGTCCGGATGATGCCCCTTTGGTGCGCGGTCCCTGGGAGCCGTCACCAACGCTGGTCCGCTCGGTCGTTTTTCCGGATCTGCTTCCAGGGAAGCCCCTCGGATGTCTCCCAAAACCAACGGAAAACGAGCAGCGGCCACCAACTGTAAGACGGCCACCTCCCCTGTCGCAGGCAGTGTTGGGTTCTGCGTCTTGCCAGCCCTGACCACCTCAAGCGCGCCAGGATCCTTGAAACCTTGCGCCGTTCGCCTACATCGCGGACCCGTGCCCCCATCAACCTCGGTCTTCAAAGTCAGCACGGGTCGAGACGGAAAACTCGACCTGGATCCCCAAGACGAAGGCGACGATATTCCTCGACCGAACGAGCCTTCCAAACCTTCTGATCGATGATGAGCTTCCGAACTTCCTTCTGGTACGCCTCCCCCATCTGACGCCCCCCCTCCTCCGTCTGCCACCTGGGATCCTGCTCGCGTTCATCCTTCCTTCCTCGAGCTAACCTCGGTCTCGGTCACTGCCAGGATCGGAGCCTCCTCATCTCCTGCACAAATGACTGCTCCACAATCGAACAATGGAATCACACTGCTGGAGTCGGAGGGCGGGGGCAGTTGAGAGCTGGGGTCGGAGAGACCAAGAGGTGCATCCAGGCGCGGCTGCTTGAGAGGCTGAGGGCCCGTCGGCTCCTCAGCGCTGCGCACCAGCCCCTCCTTCTGTGGCCGCCAGAAGGGCCCATTGCCCCAGAGGGAAAGAACTCGTCGGGGCCCCGTCGGATGCTCCGGAGACCCCGCAGGCGCGTGGTAGGGATATGGAAATGGAGACCTCGCGGGAGCCGTCGCTGGAGTCGGATCGCTCGGTTGGGTCGCCGGCGTCTGCGGCGTCGAATCTGTCGGCGTCGGTGACGGCTGATTTTCTGACCTTGGCTCCGGAACAGCCCATGCCGAATCGTCCACATCTTCCCTTGGGGGCCCTCTGGGGGCTAGGGGCCCTTCGCGGCGTCGTCGAAGTGACAGACTGTCCAGATAAACTGTGGTCGCGCGTAGTTCGGCCTCCACGGGCCTCCACGCTGCCCCATCCCCCTGGTAGCCCCCCGCATCTGTTCCGGCGACGTCTTTGCCAAACTCCCAGGAAGAGCAACCTAGAAGCTCCCCCTGACAGGCCCCGCGCAGATACCTGGTCGCCATCTGCGCGAAAACTGTTTGCCTGCAACCGCTCCCTTCATTTTGCGCCGCGCTGCAACCGCATCGCCTGCCTGAAAAACTCGGCGCGCTCTCGGGCGACAGTCGAGAGCAACCCTGGCAGCCTTCTTCTCATTGTGCGCCAGAATCACTCGACGAGCCACGGCGCGGACACTGGGGGCCCGCGCCGCCGCTGAGTTATGCAGCGCGCAACTGTTTGCCACAAGAGCGGGGTCATCCAGGAGCAAATCCTGTGGAATCTCCGGATCTCTGCTGAAAGCAATCTGACGTGGGGAAAGTCCGTTCACACTCAGCAGCGAGTTCTTTGCTTCCTGGAGCTGCGCGACACATTCAAGCCATTCCTCCGCGCCCTGGGGCTGAACCACATCGATCAAAACCTGCAGCCGCTGTTCAAGCCCCGCCCTGTGCACCGCCACCTTCCCAGTCTGTTATTTTGCCACCCCCGCTGTGTCAACCAAAGCCGTTCCGCCCCTATCCATCGCGTCCTGAAACTCACCGGACACACGTGCACTCGCAGCATCCACCTTCAGCTACTCTGGTCGGGCCCAGTTGCCAAGGTAGGCGCGAAGCAGCGCGATGGACGACCCCGTCTCTCCAAGCCGGAGTGGAGCCATCGCATGCAGAGACGAGGCATCGCACGCCATGTTGAAACATGTCCGCCGCCCCCCTGGAAGGTAGCACGGGAGCTCTCTCACGTCCACCGCCACTGATGTCAAGGGAGGCTGTGGACATGGAGGGGCGCTGTACCTCGCAATGCCTGGCTGTGGTCGTGATTCGCAATCGTCGCAGTGGAAATTCGTGGCCTGTCGTATCGCTTCGGGGCTCGCATTCGCACGTCGGAAAGATCGCAGCGTCGCGGCCGTCGTCGCATGACCTAGATTCACATGGAGACGTTGTAGAACAGCCCCAACGCCCCGCGGACGGCGGGGGCGCGCCTCATCACCGCCCCCTTCGTCGTCTTCAACGGCGCACACCTCCACCTCCTCTCCCGCATGATGGATCGCACTGGCCTTCGAGAGCCCCGAGAGCATCTTCTTGATCAGCCTCGCCAGGTAGATTTGGGTCCAGCGGGGAAGCGCGATGCCGATGCCCGGTAGTGGGCTACCCACCCTCAGCCCGAACATGGGCACGACCGCCCTGGCACGGAAGTGAAAGCTCCCTTGCCACATCAGGCGACGACGTCACAAACTTCCAGCGCGTGCTCAAGAGGACTCCTGAGATGGGGTGTCTGAGGCCCACGCGTTGCCCACGCGTCGCGCCCACATGGGCCCTCGGGTCTTCCAACAGTCGTTGCATGGACACCACGCTGTAGGTAGCCGGCGTCGGAGGCGCCTCAAAGATGAAACGTCTGCCCCGAGACAGCTGGCGTTCGGCCACCTGAACACACGCCCCGACATAACGCTAAACCTCCAGAAGTTCCTCGTTTCTCATCCAGGGCCATATTCTTAAGGGCCCTCAGCTTTTCGCACGGAGGGCGCATGTTGACGCAGAAGGGGTTATCCGTCCTGATTTTTTCCCACAGTTCCCGCGCGCCAGCGGGCGCGCAGGCGCCCCGGCCCGTGACCTTCTCGAACGAGCCGAGGTCGCGCATGCCGCGCTGTGGCGCCAACGGGCGCACCCTCGGTGGCGAGGGGATCCCCATCGCACCTGGCACCTGGCCTGTCGCGCTGAGAACCTGGCAGCTCACGCCATCCCTGGCCTGAAGGCGCCGGCCCGGCCCTGCTGGAAAGACTGCTCCACGCCCCCGATCCTCACCCTCGCGTCGTCTACCGTCGCGTCGGGATCTGGACTCCGCTCGAACTCGCGCCCCAGCAAGTCTACCTCGTAGCGCCCGCTGCCCTCGGCTTCTCGCGCGGGAACCGACGCTTGCAGCCGGCCATGCCACAATCGGTTCTCGCCCAGTTCCAGGTTGGCCTGGAGCATCTTCATCGCCTGCTTGCTGATCAGCAGCCTGGCCTTGCCCTCGATCGCGTAGACCAGGGTCTCCACGCGCTTCTTCGCCCTCGGAATACGCCAGTTGATCCAGAATGCCTTCTGTCCTCGACGAATCTTGCCGCCGTAACTCTTGAACCTGACCGTCGGCGCGTCCTCCTCCCACTCTGGCTGCAGGACCGCCACCTTCTCATGCTCTGACAGCGTCTCCGATCCGATCAGGGCCATGCCACAGCCTGAGTCGAGAGCACCGCAGACCGGCGCATGACACGCACGCGCCTCGACGGCATTCTCTTCGTCCTCTGCCTCATCGATGTCGTCCGCGTCGACGTCTTGTTTTCCTGCGCGTCGTTCATGGGCCAGCCCACTGAACCTCTCCTCGCCAGCTTCGCGATGAGGTTAGCCCGACCGTCCCCCCTCGACCACGACGCCAGCAACACATCCACTTCGGACCAGATCTCGTCGCCCTCGATCATGGGCTGCGCGGTCAGCACAGGGGGCGTCGCTTCCTGTCGAGCCGTTCTCTGTCCTTGCTTGTACGGCTTCGCCGCGAACATATTCGAGCCCTTGCACGGGGGCTTTGTTCGCTTCGGGCAGTCCCGACTGGAATGACCCATGTCCTTACATAGAAAGCACCGCACCCGATCCTTCAACTTCTTGAAATTTGACGCATCACGGGTCGGTTATCCTCTCTGCAGCCTTTCTTTGGTCATCGCAGTTCTAAATCTCCTTCCACGTAGCCAAGACATCGATCGCGACCTCTTCATCCATCGGCTCCTCCTCTTCCAGCAGTTCGTTGATCTCCTCCTCGACCGCGTCGTCTAACGTGGCCAGGGCCTCTGCTGCTGGATAGTTCGCCGATGCCACGGACTTCTCATCCCACGCGTTGGCCTCATGCACCTGGGCCGTCGGCATCTGCTTCGGATGCGCTGTCCTGATCGCCGCCGACATTTCTGGAAAGCCCCACTGACGCTGACTCGCCGCCAGCACTACCGCCCGACGCTCCAGGCCCAGTCTCGCTCCCTTCAAGAGCAAGAACCCCTGCGCCACCGTCGGTAACTCAAATCCTTCTTCCCGTGCTCTGGCGAAGATAGTCCTCGCCCTCCCCGCGCGCGCTGATGAGGTCTCTCCCCGCTCGATGCACAGCCCGAAAATGGCCTCAAGCACGTCGCCAATCCGATCGCTGGCCTCCTCGTCTGGAAGTCGTTCTTCTAAGGCCTGTAGGATCAAATCTGCATCGCCTTCTCTGTTGATGTCTCCGAGCCCCAGGTGTTCGCGCGCCTCCTCAACTTCATCGTCCAATAACGTCAAAACCAACGGATCCAGAGCCTCTGCTTGTAGCCCACGGGCCGTCTCCACAGCCAACTTCGCGCTGAACCATCGCCGCCAGCTCTTGAATTCCTGCGCAACATCAGTCCCTTTTCCGGAGAGCCGCCTCCACTGGAGCGATGTAGCACAATTCGGGGCGTTGTCCGTCATGTCCTCGCTGGAGAACTCAATTCGGCTCAAGACCAATGCAAATCCCACACACTTGGGTACCTTCTAGTATTCGGTTCCCTCGCTGATGACCGATCTTCCCCGGAAGCCTTTTTCTGAACCTGCGCTCGCCCCCGGGGCAGTGGCTCCCTGAAAGGCTTGATCAAGATTGGTCTGCGGGCGGAGGTACGCGCACGGGCATGTACATACACGAGGCAACAGGCAAAATGCACTGAAATCCACACCTCTTCCTCCTCCTGATCTTCCCCGCCATGATCCCCCAAATGTTCCTCGAAGGGTTTCCACATGGTCCGATAGCATGGCAGAGCTGTTGCCACAACGCTCGTGAGCGATTCCCAGGGGCAAGGGCGGCGGTGATTCGCGGTGGGCCTTTTCGATAATAGGAGGGGTCGGACGGTATCGAGAGGAGGCAGGGAAAGGAGCTGGAGGAAAATATACTGAGAAGAAAATGAAGCGGATGAATGATAATTAAAGGAGCAATAACGGAACACATCTGGATCGGTACCTCGGCTTCCGGGGAATCCGTTCATGCAGGCGCAAAAAAAATAGAACAAGGAGGGCGGCGCCCGTGCCGCCTTGCCGGGGCTGAGGCGCTCGAGCGACGATTCAAAAGAAGCCCGCCGCAGAAGCCGATTTGCTCGAAAGCCCGCCGCACGCACCCGCTTATTCGCAAATTAATGCGAGTGGGTCTTGGGGCGGGGGCCTCTTTTCTGAAGAAGCCCGCTGCAGGCAACTATTGCTTGACAGGGCGAGCCCGCCGCAGGCGGCGATGCTTCTGCAAAGCGATGTGGGGGGGTCGCGGGTGTGGTTGTAGGGGCGCGGGTCGCGGGCGGGTAGCGGGCAAGTCGCGGGCGAATCGCGAGGTGGGTCGCGAGGTGTGTCACCGATGGGTCGCAAGGTGGGCGGCGGGTGGGTCGCGGGGTGGGGCCGACAAAACAGCAACCACTTCAGCCACGCACCCAAGGCCAGTGTAAGACCATTTGGCACCTTCACTCTGACCCTAACCGTGCTCAGCCTGTTGTCGGCGTAAGCGCTGTCTCCCCGTCTAAATGTGGATTATTTCTGGTGAGCTCCGTTCAGCCTTTCCGAGAGTGGCAGCTGGTAGGGGCGAATCGTGCGCGTCAAGATTGTAGTAGCCAGGAGGGGCCATGGCAAGGTGGGAGAGAACCCATCGTGCAAACCCTTGCGAGCCTGACGATTCCAAGGGCCGATAATTTCGAGCGTCGGTTCCAACTGGAGGTTCCGACGGAGCAGCCCGGAAGTACGCCCAAACCCCGCAACTGCGAATACGAGTGCGGGGGCGGCCGAAGTCGTCGGCAGCCTGCGAGGCTCGACAGCTAATTTCCAAAGCGCCGAAATGTTCTAGACACTGCGCAAAACGAGCCCGCCGCAGGCGCGGCTCTGTCGTCAAAACGTTTAGTGTGGGTGAGTCGCGAATGGGTCGCGGATCGCAAATGGGTCGCGGGTGGGTCGCAGGAGGTTCCCTGGTGGTTGGCGGGTGGGTCGCGGGCAGGTTGTTGCGGGAGAGGACGGCGACGACAAGAGTAACAAACAACGAAATTCCCCCATAGCGAAGGCCCAGTGAGGAGGAGAGAGGAGGAACACCAGGAGAACGACAAGGATGTCGTGGTGGAGGAGGACGACGAAGAGGATAGAGGAGCGGGATGAAGATGAGGAGCAGGACAATCGAGGAGGAGGTGGCGGATGACGGAGGGTGAAGAGGGGAAGAATGGAGAGGAGGTGGATCGAGGAGACGTGGGCAGAGGATCGAGCAGGATCGCTGGGCACGGGAACGGGGTGGCCTCGGAGGGGGGGGCAGGTGGTCTTCAGATCGGGAAGCGAGCGGACGCTTGCGCGGTGCATGGACGGAG